ATTTGCCAGACTCGAAAAACTGTTGTTGTGAATTTTGAGAAAAGAGAAGGCACTGACTGGCCGGTAGGGAAGCCGAAATTTTAACCTCCCATTTACGAGGCATTATCGTATTGTATTTGCGGCCTGAAGGGTAAGTGGATCCTTAAATTTCTGTTTTTCGACCAAGGGGTGAAGCGTTGTTCTAGTGAACCGGCACTTACTCGCTCCTGAATTTGACAAACATCATTGAATGGATGTCAACACGACGCGCGTTGTGAGGTTATATATGTTTCTGCCGCTGTCTTTAAATTCCTGCATTTCAACTATCTTCTTTCACTGTTTCTCCGGTAATATTTGATGATTCCTTAATCTCATCAGTGGTTCAAGATCTTTTGATGCAGAAACATCCCGGTTCATTTGCTCTACATAATTCTCATTGTTGACAGCTCTGTGTTTGGCTCCATCCCTAGAGCCGCCCTACTCCCCCATACTGCCTCAAATTTGTAAATCTTAACTAAGGCCATTATGGTTTTCCTTTTTTTTTTTTTTGCAGCTGAGCAGTTAGGAATGATGGATATCCGACCAAATCACACTATCTATGTGAACAATCTCAATGAGAAGGTTAAAAAAGAAGGTAAGTTGCGATTCATTTTGCTTTCAGAGGAGTCTTTTGAATGTGTACTCATGTCAATGTTTTTTTTTTGTTTTCAGAGCTCAAGAAGTCTCTCTATGCCATTTTTTCTCAGTTTGGACCCATTGTAGATATTGTTGCGCTCAAAACATTGAAAATGCGAGGACAAGCTTTTGTTATCTTCAAAGAAATAAATAGTGCGACAAATGCTCTTCGTTCCATGCAGGGATTCCCATTTTATGACAAACAAATGGTAAGATGATCACCATTTAAGTAGTTGATTTACTTAGCTTATGCTGTCTCTTACTACGTTTCTTTCCATACAGAGAATCCAATACTGCAAAACAGATTCTGACGTCATCGCCAAAATGAAGGGAACTTTCTCTGAACGACCAAAGAAAGTTAAGAAAGCACCAGTTGTTGCAGAGGATTCTGCAGATACAAAGAGACAAAAGAAGAAGGCTGCCAAAGAACAAGCAAGAATACAGCAACAGAATCCAGGGGCTCCAAATATGCTTGCCCCAGGCTTTGGAAATGTTATGGCTCCAGGTATGTAAAATGCTTGTGTTGCTTTAGTTCCAATTTGAAGTTACTGGCTGGAGTTCCTTTGAAACCAATGTGATTGTTTTTTATAGGTATGATGGCGGCAGTGCCTGATCAACCTCCCAACCAGATTCTTTTCCTCACTAATCTACCTGATGAGACAAACGAAATGATGCTGTCCATGTTATTCAATCAGTAAGGGACATTTCTTGGGCATCTGATTACCCTCTTGCATTGATTGTCATATTCTAATCATCTCTCCTCTTCATCTCTTTTTAGGTTCCCTGGTTTCAAGGAAGTTCGTCTTGTACCAAACAGACATGATATTGCCTTTGTTGAGTTTGAAAATGAGATGCAGTCTGCAGCTGCGAAGGATGCACTACAAGGATTTAAAATTACGCCATCACATTCCATGAAGATTTCATTTGCCAAGAAGTAGCATTAGTCACATGAAAAATTGTTTTGATTTTATACATTAACTACCTGCACACAACCATCAGTTGCCATCTCTTCACATTTTTCTTGTGAATCAAGTAATTTTTATTTTTTGTTTATTGTGATTTTACACATCTATTTGCCAACTGATGTGAATATTCTTTAAAGAATGTTGCAGAGTATTTTGGGTACATGTTCATGACTTGTCACACAACTGTCAAAATTTGTTTTGCAATCATGTCAAATTAATGTCTGTTTGGTAGTTGTACAAAGAATTGGTAAATAAGTGTGTATTAAAAATAAAAGTTAATAAAAATCCCAAAAGTGTTTTATTATCAAACGTCCATTTCATTCTCTTGCAGCTATGAGCCAACCGAGCTTACTTGGTCATTCATCTAAATTATCCTTCTTTTCTCTTGAATTGGGTTTTAGACGGGATGCCAATTTAACAATTTGCAATTCTAAGAAAATTTAGTTTGCTTTTTGTGATCTGGTCACTGTACGCTGTTAGAACGTCTGGTCACCTTAGCATCATTACTCACGGACTTGCTAGAATCTAGGGGGCCGTGCGACTCCCCATAATAGAGAACGGCAAAGCCACGGGAACGGGGAACCACGGCTTGAAGCCGAAAGTTACCTTTCGGTCGGCTATTTTTAGTGCAATCTCGGGACGTTCGCTTCGCGAGCGAATGGTTTGAAAGACAATACTTCCTCCGTGTCGGGCGTGATTGTTTCTTTCAATTTGTCTGTCTGTGAGTGATAACTTTTTCAAGGAGCATCAACAAGAAAGAACTGAAAATGCCTGTCTTCCATACGAAAACCATTGAGAGTATATTGGAGCCTGTAGCTCAGCAGGTAAGAAAACATGAGAACCAGCAACTTTTTCAGCCCTTGGATCTGGACGTCTAGCATTTTCTGTCTGTATACATACTCGTAGCAGAAGATGTACAGTATGAACGTTCGCTTACTCAACATGTATTTAAATATGTTGGAGTGACAGGTCGAGATTTGTAAATCTCTTGGGCGTAGTGCTAATGTTCGTGCCTAACACGAATCGTTTCTAGTTTGCGGGGCTAAAATCTAATTCCAGGTTTGAGGTTATCCGTTCGTTAACCTGTACTTGGGATGGGCGTGCCAATCGGGCCAATAGCCAATCGGGTGGTAGACTCACGTCACGTGACTGCTGTGACACATCTGTGTGTGACGTCACGGCGGGAACCCGTAAATGGGCACGATGTAGAGAGACCAACAACTAGCTGTCTGGATTTAATCAAATTTCCCCTCAGCCAAAGCAAAATTGCCGATTAGCAAAGGTTGAACCTACTCGACCCTCTTATCTCGTCTGTTTTTCTGTAACGCTCATTTAGTAAGTTATACTACTTATCTGAGGGAGAAATGTATAAGAATAAGGGAAGGAAACTGAATTTCATAAAACAGAGTACCTATGCTACTATCTTACTATATATGGCATTCCCTGCTGTGCTCTATTATTTTTCATATATGGAAAAGCAAGGACAGGGAAGGCATCTGCTGATCGAACACCTGTTTGTGTTTTATTTATTTTTAGAGTAGCATTTGAAATTTGGAATTGAGGAAATAAAATTTACTTTGTTTTATGAAGTTAAAATAAAATGTGAGGTGCAAACACAAACAAGGTTTTTTTTTATGTGTTTTATTTTTGGTGGGTGCGGTGGCAGTATTTTTGGCAAAACATTTTTACGAAACCAGTATTTTTAAAATAGGTTTCATGTTCAGCATTAATTATGTGTTTTCTCAGGTTTCAAGGCTCGTGATTCTCCATGAAGAAGCTGAAGATGGCAATGCTATGCCTGATTTGTCCCGGCCAGTTCAAGCCGTCAGTCATGCTGTGGCTGACCTTGTCAAGGTACTATCTGAGTGTATTATGATCGGAGATCTTTATGTATTTCTTGCACTGACTAACTCACACTTCTCATAATTTTCCCAGGTTGGCCGTGAAACAATCAACAGCAGTGATGACCCTATCCTTAAGCAGGATATGCCAGCCGCGCTTCACCGAGTGGAAGGTGCTTCTAAATTCCTGGAGGAGGCTAGTGGCATGCTGAAAGGTGATCCATATTCTGGACCAGCAAGGTATGGTGAAATAGTCATGTAATATGTTTTCTATATTATAAAATGTATTCTCCCTTTCCACTTCTGTTTATATTCATGACATGTAATATCAATATTTTGTTTATTTGATTCACAGGAAAAAACTGATAGAGGGCTCAAGAGGCATTCTGCAGGGAACATCTGCTCTGCTGTTGTGCTTTGATGAATCTGAAGTTCGCAAGATCATAAGAGAGTGCAAAAAAGTTCTGGACTATCTAGCTGTTGCTGAAGTTATTGAATCTATGGGAGATCTTGTACAATTCCTTAAAGATCTTAGCCCATGCCTTAGCAAGGTAACTTTCTATTTATCACAATTTGTTCCATGTGATCTATATATACTGCAATACAGTATTTCTGATTTTTTGTGCATCCTGGTCTTAAAATGACGTTTTGTGGCTCTCAGGTTTCAAGAGAAGTTAGTGCACGTTCTGAAGAACTGACCCACCAGGTGCATCGAGAAATATTGGTACGCTGTCTTGACCAAGTAAAATCATTGGCTCCAATTTTGATATGCAGCATGAAAATCTTCATCCATATCATATCTCAAAGCAAAGGTAAGTTGTAAATGATGAATGTTATACCCTATGAATGGCCAGGCTAAATGTTTCATCTGGTTTCAGAGGGAGCAGAGGCTAAGGGTGCCCGTGAAGCTGCTGAGAACAGAAATTACCTGGCTCAACGCATGACTGATGAAATCAATGAAATCATTCGTGTGCTCCAATTGACAACATATGACGAAGATGAATGGGATGCGGATAACTTGACTGTAATGAAGAAGGCTTTGAATGCTATCCAAAGCAAGATGCGTGCTGCTCATGATTGGCTTGAGGTAAACATTCTAAGGCTAGTTTGTGGTGCAAGTAGATAATATATTATTTATTTTTAGAAAATATTTTTCATTTTTTATGTTTTAGGATCCTTTGGCTCTTCAAGGTGGAGTTGGTGAAAAGTCTGTTCGGCAGATTTTGGAATTTGCCATGAAGGTAGCTGAGCGTTCATTGCCTAATGACCGTGATGCTATTCGCAAGATGTGCTCTGACATCAGAACTATGACTGATGCTTTGTGTGAGCTGCGTAGAGATAAGAAGGGAGCCACACCACAAGCTGAAGCTTTAGCTCGCGGAATTCAGGACAAGTTGGGTGAACTGTGCACACTTCTCACACGCGCTGTGAATAATGTGGAAAAGTCTGGCATGCAGCAGCCTGCTCATACAGTAATGGGACGTCTGGAGCAGGCTAAACGTTGGTTAGCCAATCCTGAAAGGGACGATCGCGGCCTTGGACAACGTGCTATCCAGCTTATTGTGGAGGAAGGGCGGAAGGTAAAATCAATTTGTTCTCCCTCATCATCAGCTTCCATTGTGCAGCTGTCCTTCTTACATGATACTTGCATGACAAGGGCATGACATTTTATTTTATGTTGTCAATGTCTCCTCTTCATCGCCTAAAGTCTGTATTGTTGTCTCTTCTCAAAAATGAAATTTTCTTTTCCAAAGGTGGCTGAAGGATTGCCGGGTGTTCAAAAAGCAGAAATTCTCGCTCTCTGTGATGAGGTAGACATGTTGTCAAGGCAGTTAGCTGACTTGTGTCGTCGAGGTCTTGGTGACTCCCCACAAGCAAAGGAGATTGCAAGGTAAGAATTACACTGCAGCCATATCTATGCAATTGTGGGTTTTGTAAAATTTAAATGATGGATTATTAATGGATTTGACTTGTAGGCAACTGGCTCAGAAACTGCATGAGCTGAAAAACCGCATCCAAAGTGCTGTTGTTAATAGAGTTGTAGAGGACTTCATTGATATTACGACTCCATTGAAGCAGTTTGTTGAAGCTGTCAATGTACCTGAAGGTATGTTCATGGTTTACTTCTATTATATTGTCTTTGACTTCCTTCAACTTATTTTCAAACGTTTTTGTCTTTTCACAAGGAACTCCTGGAAGGGAGGAGAATTTCGCTCGAAAAGCCCAAAACTTGCAGAACTTTTCCAACCGTGCTGCTAAAACAGCACGTATGGTTGCTGCTGGAGGTGGTGGTGGAAACAAAAAATTATCTGAAGCCCTCCTGTCATCTGCAAATCAGGTATATCTTTTAGCATCCTTAACTAGTCAATTCTTTACTTGTGTAGATCTGGAAATTTATTGGTTCTAATGGTTACAGTTGGAAAGCCTGACCCCTCAATTGGTTAATGCTGGCAGCATAAGAATGCATTATCCTTATGACAAAACAGCTGATGAACATTTCAACAACTTGAAAAATCAATATGAAGACAGTATTGAGCGAATGCGAAATCTCTGTGATCAAGCTACTGACCCTGCTGAATTCATCCGTCTCTCTGGTTTGTTTTGGCTTTTTTTTATTTGGTTCAAGTTGATTCTACTTTGGCAAGTGTCTACTGGAAGGTGCACTTTTTTTTTTTTGCAGAGGCTCAGATGCAAAAACACACAGTCCTTTGTGAGGATGCTATCCGGGCCAATCAGCCACAAAAAATGGTTGACAACACTGCTAGTATTGCTCGTTTAGCCAATCGTGTGCTGATGGTTGCTAAACAAGAGGCAGATAACTCTGAAGATCCGTCCTTCATTGCCCGTGTCAATGCTGCTGCCAATGCTTTGGAGCGAAGTTAGTGTTAAAATCTTACATTGAACTTTGATGTTTGTTGGTTTTATGTCAAGGAAAGTTTTTTTGTATTATTAATGTAATTTTTTATCATTTCAGGTGTGGCACCCATGGTACAAGATGCCAAACAAGTAGCAATGGACACAAATAACCCAGCAGCTTGTTCAAGGTGGAGAGATTCCAACAGAGGGGTAAGCTCTGTCATACTTGGTTCTGTGATGAAATGGCCTTTCAGACCATCATTGATTCAGTATTTTGGTTTTGTAGTTACTTAATGCAGTTGGTCAAGTCCGTCAAGCTATTGCACCTGAGGTACCCCAGCCTCCAGATGTGAGCTCTCTACACCTGAATGGTATGTATTTGCCAGATCATCATTAATATATGTGTTTGTGTTTATTTATTGTGAACCATTTCTAGAGTAGAATACAGTGCTGTTTGTGCAAGTGTTGTTCAAATTACTCCACCAATGTCAGTGTGAGTTTTTGGTATGGAGCAATATTGAGTTGGAATGTACCCCCTGTCCATAGTACTTTCCTTCCAACAAAAATTTGTGTGATGTAGTATTTGTGCATATTCCTGACCCCCAACCAAGTGTAAATATTGGTTAACTTCTTCAGATCATGATATAACTTTTATCAGAGCTGATGCCAACTTTTCTGGCCACATTGTTGAGGAGGAGAACTCACCTTCTCGCCCTGCAACTTCTTGCTACTCAACTCCCTTGTACATTTGTTAATTTAATGCTGGTTGTTTTTTGTGAAGCTGGCATGTTGTGTGGTATGTAGTTGCTTTGAAGGATGCTGTTATTGCTGCTTCCAGACGACCGAGCACCTCAGCAACAATATAACTACTTCACCGACAAAGGTATACACTTTGTTCAATTTCGTCTTCTGGGTATAAATTTATGCATGGGTGTGGTTTATAGTGGTGTTCTTTTTTTGTTTTTTGTACAAATTACTATTTGGTAGGACATTTTACTTTTGTTGCAGCTATAGCGGGTCATGTTGTACAGTTGTCATTTGAAATCTCACTACATACTGTAAAATATAAACAAAAGAAAAACAAATGTACATATAAATGTCCTTTGGTTTTGAAAAGGCATAACTCATTGCATATTCTCTTTTCCAACAGTTTTACTGTTCCCAACAGAAATTTAATTCCCTTACTAATCCAAGATGTGGTTTGGTTTGACTACTGGAGTGTTTTCAAAGGTGTGGGTGGATGGTGTATTTCAGTTGGACAGCATCTTCGTGAACAACCAAGTCCCAACGGGCTACAAAGTGGGAACTATGGCAGCCCCAGTACTCCTGTATATTTTGGCAGATCCTCTCCTACTATCTCAAGTCTTTCATCTCCTTCAGGAGGTGTTCACAGAAATGTCAGTCCCCTTCCTAGGTGGGCCCAAGGTACTCCATCATTTTTACTGCAAAGCTTTCCTCTAAGCTTAGTTATTTTCTACATTCTTCTAAAACTCTGATGTCTAAATGTCTTGTTATGTTACTTTAAAATAATTTGGTTACCAAAAATGTGTTTTGTTTCTTTCCAAAACAAAACAAAAAACTTTGTTTCTTTTGAATACAGGAGATGGAACCAATTTATTGTATCAGGAGCTAACTTCTGATGATGAGTACTTTTCAAGAGGTAAAATACAGGTCTAAAGGCCATAGGAATACTAGGTGTAGGCTCGCATCATGATAAGCTACTGCTGGGGTTTGTGTCGCTGGTGCCATTGGTGGTGGGCTGTACATAAATGAGTTTCATTCTTAGTCATCCTCAAACTTGCAAGTGAAACTTTTTACTGCCATTTTATTTAGTTAAAACTTACAATAACATGGTCATTCATAATCCAAACGAAGGATTTTCATCACTTCATTGAAGTGCTTGATAGCTAACTGCAGTATAATCAAGAAACAAGGGTAGTCCTTGATGCTTGGTAAATATTTGTAGATATGCTTGTAGTTTCCTGTATACAAATTTTAAATATATTTTTGTCTGTCATTTATGAACTGTCCTGATATTCATTTGGTATCCTGTTGTTTAACAGAATGGCACAATGTCATGCATTTTGAATGTTATATGTATCTGTGTGCATGGCGTATTATTCATTTTAATCAAACTCAAAATATATGTGGATAGATTAATTATTAGAATTGAAGATCATTAGTATATACCCCAGTCCCCTTTCTGTCTTAAATACTCCGGTGTCCTTCTTTACATCTACATGCATTCTCGGGGCCTGTTTGACTCCTTTCTCAATTTTTCGCATACTCTTCATTTTGCATGATGTTTCCTTGGTTGAGATTTGTATTTTGTGATAATGAAAGTTCAAAAATGGGTTACAAGATTGGGTGAGCTCCACCAAGTTGTTCAATGTGGAATTACCTGATTTTTGTGCTTTTGCCAGATTGATTGCCTGCAGTGTGTACATCGGATTTTGTCTGATATGTTTTTCCCTTTTCATTGAACAAAGTAACTTGTAACAGTTTGAAGCTTTCCATTTTAACTGAAATATTGATTTGCAGAAACGGCTCATCCTTGAGTGTTTGCTTTCCCATTTCGTATAAAACCTTTCTATTTCTGTGTGTCCTTTTTTCATGTCTTTCTCATGGATAGTAATTTGTTCTCAAAACAACTTGTACATTGATGGTGAGTCAGTTCAGTGTCTTTGTGTTGTGTTTCTGTCTTCCTAGCATGTTTGCAGCACTGTAGCACTTTTGTGTTTCATCAGCACTCCTCATAGCACGACACCGCATGGATATCAATGTTTATTTGTTTATATGTTATTTACATGGTGGCTTTCTTCTCTAAGTTTTTATAGCTCAGTTAGGAAGGATGTTGAATGACTTCCTTGATCGCATCCCACTACTTTGTGTTTCAGTTTTATTTTTATTTTTGTTGCTGTAGTCAATTTATAGTTTATTGGCTGGAACAACTGATGGAAGATATCTCCTTGCTTTACTGTTTCAATTTATCACACAGTATTCTAATTTTATGTATTTGAGCACCAACCACATTTGGTTGTAGTTGTAATGTTCTTCTTAGAAATTATCTGTGTGTGACTATTACTTTTTAATTGGTGGCAGCATCAAATTAAATTTTAGACCCTCGTGTTGAAAATACACTCTAACCCTTTATTCTCATCTCCTTTTTAGACATGGCCCCCCCTCGCCCACCCCTTCCTGGTGGCGACATGCCTCCACCACGCCCACCACCACCAGCAGAGACAGACGATGAAGATGATATGTTCTTGCATGCTCCGGGCGCCAACCAGCCTATCATGGTAGGAGATCGTTTTGGAAGTTAAAACTTTGTTAAAAACTTCTTTGTTCTAACTCCTTATGAATTTTGTTATATATTTTTTTTAGATGGCTGCTCATGGTTTGCATCAAGAAGTAAAGCAGTGGTCGAGCAAAGACAACGACATTATTGCTGCAGCTAAGAAGATGGCCCTGTTGATGGGACGTTTGTCTCAACTTGTTCGAGGTGAAGGTGGAACCAAGAGGGACTTGATTGCCTGTGCTAAAGCCATAGCGGAGGCATCTGAAGAAGTGACCCGTTTAGCCAAAGAGCTTGCTCGGGAATGCACTGACAAACGAATGCGCACTGTAAGTCAGATTTTAATCTTTATTACTGTTAAAGAGTTTTAATTACATTCTATTGTGTAAGCTATTACTATTGTTAATATCACCAACTTTAAAATAATAATGAACTTTTACAGAACCTCCTTCAAGTGTGCGAGCGGATTCCTACTATTGGCACCCAGCTGAAGATTCTTTCAACTGTGAAGGCTACCATGCTTGGTGCTCAAGGTATGACAGTACATTTCTATCCAGCATAATATTTGCCTCTGTACCCTCATCTCATATCTTTGAAATGAAAATATCAAACTTAATTTTTGATGTAGCTCCTACACAATACTGTGGCGATTTTGGTGTCAGCTTTTCATTTTGTGTAGTAACAATGCGAACAAAAATTTTAACATCCTTTCTGCAAAACCAAAATTTTACCCTTGTAGCACTTGTTTCTTTAAAAATAATTTTTGTGAAGAAAAGTGAAGTGAAGGCTGCCGTAATCTCCTAAAACCCTAGATATATGCCTTCCTACTGCTTTACTTTCTTCTTATTTTGAACTCTTGCTATACCAATGTAAATATAATACCTTAAAAATGTCTGTACTACCCTGATTTGCTTCTTGTGGTTCGCAATTCACATAAACTTTGGGTTCTTCCACAGAGATCCTGCCCCGATGTGCAATGGGGGAGTTAATTGGTGGTAATACCACACATTCCAATTTTCCTGTCTTGCAGTTTTTATTTTTCCCCTTTGCACGGCATTAAGATATTGCCTGGCTTTAGTTACATCCTCAGTAAAGGTCATACCCCATTTACAGTTCGAGGAGCAAGAAAAGTGAGATCTTTTAGAGAATCACTTTTAATAAAGACATTTTATTTCATAGTTGAATTTCACATTTAAAAGAAACTTTTACCTATTGGACCCATTAGTTAGCTGTGTAGTGTTGATCAATATACATTTAACTATGTAGCTTCTTAGTGATATAGGTAGTTAATGCAAAATTTGCTCTCACTGTGTTTTCTTGATCATAAATATCTCACCCATTTTTCTTTCCCTTGCTGAAGCTATTTGATCACATTATGGCTGCTTTATTGAACATTCTAGAATGCACTAGATACTCCCCTTTCCTTGATGTGATTTACTGAGTGCTTCCCAATTCCATTCTCATATCCCTAAATATTTAGCACAGTAACTACATTAGATTCTCATAATAAGTGTTTTCTTGTGTTAAGCAGTATGTGATTTGGCTATTGATAATCTTGTTATACTGCATGGAAGATTGTGTGACTTAAAAAAAAGGAAAATCCTTCTACTGGTGTTGGTGTTATCTTAACAGCACACTATTGGAGAGTGGTTTTTAATACAGCTAACTATTTGATGGCTTGGTGGCTGTTTTTTGTATTGTTTTTGTTTTATGCACTCATGGATTCAGGCACTATGATCGGCGCCAGTGAGTATTGTCTGTTAGGCCTTCGGAATCTTAAGTCTCCTGATCCCTTACAATTGAAGGTGATGATGAAGTTTCCTTCGGCAAGCTTAAAACATACTCACTTGTATCAAATATTAATTCATTTTTAAATTGTTTAATTTTGCTTGATTTGGTGATAAATTTCTTATAACTGCAATATCTGCAACAGTAACTGGCAGGTAGTTGTTCTTAAACATGTATTACTTTGAATTTTTTTGCTTTGTTGCTGTATTTCTTACTTTAAAGCATGTTAATTTTGATAAAAAGTAACCTGATACTTAATGAATGGGTCCATCATTTAGTAGTGAGGTTCTTCTCAACCTTCTCTGTCTCTCTTATTAAAGAAGCATTGGACTCACACAAGTTTTTCCATTTTATCTCCAGGCTCGGAGGAGGACCAGGAGGCAACCGACATGTTGGTAGGCAACGCTCAAAACCTTATGCAGTCTGTAAAGGAGACTGTAAGAGCTGCAGAGTCCGCATCTATCAAGATCCGCACTGACGCTGGTATCAGGCTGCGCTGGGTCCGCAAGCAGCCTTGGTACAGGTACTAAATGGAAAATGAATATTCAAGAAATGGAAAGGGCACTTAAGTACTTCAAGCCAAAGTTCAATATCAAAATCGAAGCAGTCTGATATTAGTTTCCATCGCAGCTATCCAGATTTACCTTATTTTGTAGGGTAATAGTCTATTGTATGACAATCACTGCCTTCCTAGAAAGCTATATCCTGTGAACTTCATGGTGAATCTCATAGAACGTCATGTTATGCTTCGAATTTGTTCTGTTGTTAAGATAAGTCATGCAACAGTGAAATGCCGAGGAAAAAAGGATAGTATGCAAGTCAAGCATTAATTTGAGCATTTTACAAGATTGATCACTGTCTTCCTGACCCAGTCTTATGCTGCATTTTGGGACAGTCATGACTTGACTCAAAGATCACTACTGACATTGTTTAAAATGAGTGGTTTATTAGGGATGCCATAAGGCCTGAAGCAATTTAAAACTAATGAATGAGGAGCAATTAGTGCTAAGGGAGCTGTGACTTTGACCTCTTTTTGAGGTACCTCTTCCATGGCATTTAGTACCATTTAAATCTAGTCTGATTAGGTTGAGCTTGTGTAGTCGAGTGTGACTGCAACATCCATCTCCGATTTGATCCCAAAACTAGGTATATTGAATAAATGAATATATAGCACTCCTCTTCAAAAAGGCTCTCCTGACTTTTGTCAAATTCTTTCATGAGTTTCCTTTTGTTTCCTTTTGTGTGTCTAACTTATTTTGTGCATCTATTTATTTCTAAACATCAAGTGGTGTTTGGATATGTTGGTTACTTTTACAAGCAACGTTCTAGTAACTTTTAAAAAAGTCTCTGCGACACATTTTTTAACTTCATCTTGTCCCAAGTGATAATTGCATGAGTTACATAAAAAAAGTTAACTGAAAAATTGCAACAACGTATCTCTTCACAAGAAATAATTTCAAGCAGAAAATTTTGTACCCAACTTTTAATTAGTGTACTATCAAGTTACTCTCAAAAGACTTAATACTTATAAAAATAGACTTGTGTGATGTAATGACTAGGTGTTTTTAACATGTAAATGAGACTAATTGTACTGGTTTAATGCAAACATGTACAGGGTAGAAAATAAGCTGGCTTTTGACTTTGCCTTTATACATATTTGAGCTTTTATATTGGGACGCAACATATGACCAGAATCTTGAGAACCAATTACGACTATCTGATGTTTGACCACTCAGTGAATTTCGATTGGATTTGCTCAAGTTTTTAACAGTAGTGTAAGGTTGAGTACATATTGGTGTCCAGATTAGGGTCCTAAGATCCTTAGGTCCTTAGGTCCCTATTCTAAACAAACTTGGGGAAGTGTAGCGTATTATATGTGTCCATTGTGTACCTGTTAACACTGTTTAGGATTTTGCAACTGTTTAATTAACCCTTTCAGGTTGATTCAGAAACAAAATGGTATGAAATTCTATATTCATTCTGGGAGGAATTAAAATTGATTTTCTTATGACAAGTTTTGTGCCTTTGGGTCTTTCTTGTTGGGTGTTAACATTGGCACCTCATTTTATGCCCGCAAGCCTTTTAAAATCAAACAAATGATCTCATGACATGAGAGCTCACAAATTTTGTAATGTTTTAAAGACAAGTTTTTGAAACCTGCTGAGGATTTTTTTGTGGCTTTTGCTATTTGTAATTTAGGAAAATGCAGGGAGCATATTTTTCTAAGCTCTTTCATATTTTGATACGATAAATGTATTTGACCACCTTTTGCATGTTTTTTCAATGCTTGTTTTTCTCCTAAGATGTCATCAAGTTCATTATTTGTCACCAACATCATTTCAGATAAAATTGCATCATAATTGTGAAATGATACTCCTACAATGATAGCCATTCCACTCATGTGTTTTTGAGTTCATGTTTGTTTCTATTTCATCGCATCATAGCTGAAAGCATTTTTATATTTTATCTCACAGGTCTTGTATCAACAACTATGTATGCTCTGTCACTTCTTATAGGGGCAAGATTATTATTTTTTTAAATGTGATCTGGCTGGTGAAACTACCCAAAGTCACTCTTTTACTTAAGCAAATTGTGCATTTCATGCTTTTCATACTGTCATTCTGCAAGAAGCTTTCGTCTTAAAAAACTTTGTTGATTTGTAGATTTCGGTGCCATATAATTGTGATTAATTTAAAGCTTTTTTACTATGATTATTAACATATAACGCACAAACAGCTTTTTGTGCGGTATGCTATTTATTTTACTCATATCTTCAACTTACCATTAATTGTTTTGCCCAGATAGAAGTCTGGCAACACACCTGAAGAATACATGAGTGTCTTGTTTTATGTTAATATCTTTTCTTATAATTTATTATTAAGTTTGTAATGTTTTAATGTAATTTCTTAAATCATTAATTTTTAAAAATGATTAGGTGAGTGAGGTTTATCTTTACTCACATTTTGTTTGAAACATTATCTACTGTCATCAGTAGTGTCTGGCTTGTTCTCTTTACGGATTTTGCATGATATTCTCTGTGGCATTTCATTTTACAGTATTACTGTTGTAACGTTGTTATGTTTATCCCTGTGATGTGAGATGTTCTTTTAGGATTTGTGTGTTAAGTATTGCTTGCAACTGAGTCACACATAACCACATTACTGGAAAATAATCTTCCAAATTTCATGTCTTAAAAATTTGGACTGTGACGGGGCCACCCTTGAAGACGCAATCCCATAACATTACAAAACTGTTGCTAGTCAATGTGTGAGTTATTGGATTGTCCTCAATTTGGCTGCTATCTGAAGTCCGCACAGGTGACTTACATCAATTGCTCTCCTCTAAAGCAATTATGCTGATAACATGGACACACTTCATGTGTCGTCCTAAATATTTTCAAACTTAATTCATTTTGCAAGTGCATTTTTGCTTGACTTTCTAGGTGACAGTTATACTGTGCTAATTATTTGTTTTGACTTTGTTTTAACATTGATAACTGTAATTTATACATGGCACTTTAGGTTTCTGAACAACTGGTTTCTTTGTATCCATCATTGACTAAAGCTGGGATGTATTTAACTATTATTATTTTTTTCTGTTAAAATTTAATTATTAGCAATTTTGTATCCTAACTCATGTTTCAACTTCAGATAGCTTTAATAATTATCCCTTCATTATGTTAACATACTATTAACAGCAGTCCTGTTACATCCATTGTTTCTCAAAAACTCTGTACATCATTCTGTTGTGTACAAAAGTAGTTGCGTACGTGTGTTATGTAACATTTGAAATGAATAATAAACAATTATTTGTCCGCATTGTTGTGTTTCATTTTCATTCAACATCCAGCGCATGTTACCACAGACGTATTTCAAGAAGTGGGTGACGAGAACGAGGCGGTACTCGGCGCTGTCCTGGAAGGGAAGCCAGGGAGGGAAGTCGGGCTTGCTGTGCGAGGGAGGGAGGAGAGGGGGGGGGGGGGGGGGGGGGGGGCTCGCGAACCAGCGACCAGCGCGAGGCTAGCAAATCAGCTGAGCAAACTCTCGCGCGAAAAGGCATCGGGGAGAGGGCTTGGAAAGAGACAGAGAGCGGGGTGGGGTGGGATGGGTCGACTCTGGACTGCTCCGAACCCGAACTCGGGCATTCGCTTCGCAGGTTGCAATTGGTCGGGCCGGGCAGGAGGCTGGAGGAGCGGAGCCGAGCGGGGCGCAGTGGACGGGATTTAAATCACCATGGGGAACGGGTGGGGTGGGGGACGGTCGAATAATACTAATTGCCTCATTAACAGGGCTGTCGGGCTGGGCATGCTGGGCTGGGCCACCAGGGCGGGCGGGCCACACCGTCGGACAGGAACTACACGGACAGGACAGGCAGCAGGCTACGGAACATGGCCCTGTGAGGACGGGGTGAAGCAGGGGAGGGCCGGACTCGGTATAAGCTCGCAGTGATGAACAGTCCAAAAGACTGCTCTCACTGGGACTTGGTGCGGTGTGGCATATGACCCCGGCCGCCGAGGTAAAGGTTCCTGCTCTTTGTACGGACGGTATGTCATGTTGTGCAATGCAAGCATGGCAGTTACCGGGCCCGAACGGCAAAGGATCATTTGTGGTCTAGCCTCTCAAGTTCAAGTTCAAAGTTCCGGCGGGCAATAGCGCCTGCAGGTAGGCAATCCGGTCGACCCCCGAGTCCGGCGGGACTGCCTATGCGTCGCTCCGCAGGCGCTTGCAGTCTGGATGCTCCCGCTCACGGCTCACGGCACTGCGCCACGCTCGCCGCGGTGCCACCAACTGCACGCGCCCTTCCTGCCCCAAAGTCACTGCAAATTGACGTCCGAATCTGGAACTGGGAGGGAAGATGTCCGTGAAGTTGCGCGGAAGCAGGAGACACGGAGGGAGGACTGCAACGCCGGCCGTATCGTTACCTTGCAGCCATCGACGGGCACCAAATGATAGTGGAAAGCAGTAGGTTTATTTTGTCAATGAACCGTATACATTTTTTATGAAAGAAAGGGACAAAGGGGATCCAAGCACTCTTGGCCCGAATACTGGGAACTCAATGAGACTAGAATTCCAAAATTAATCCAGTGGACTCAAAGACCGGTATGGTGCGGATTAGTTCGGACAGGATTGCGGATGCGGCAAAAAGGGCAGATTTGAATTACTTTGCATCTTACCGCTAAAAATATTGGAAACTTGTTGATACTGAAGTTCTAGTCCGTACGATTTGGTATCGTCTCGCGATAGTGCGTCGTCTCTATACCTCGGTCGATACTCTAGTCGAGGACTTCTGCTATGGGCCGTGTTAGCAATTTCGCGAATCGAGGTCTTGTCCATTTCTTTCCGTGTCGGTGTTGTAAACAGTGGTCCCCCCACCACAGTCGGTACTGCCAGGCCGACCACGCGGGTTTGGCGGGTTTGGCGGGTTGCTGACCGGCACGGCGAGGCGCACGCCTAAATTATGCTGGTCAAGACGCCGGCACTTGGCGCTGCCTGCCACTGCCTGCCACTGCCTGCCACTGCCTGGCAAGCACGGTGTGCCTCCATTCCCCGCCCTCGCGGCTGGCTGGCTGGCTGGCCGGCTGGCTGGCTCTCTGTTAGCTTTGGTTAAGACAAACAGGCAGGCAGTGGCTGGCTGCGGCGGCCTGACAGCCAAGCAGTCAGACAGGCAAGCTGGCAGACAGCACCAGGTTCATCAACGCGGCGCCCTCGGCCTCGGCCGGCCTCGGCTCACCCTGCCCGTGGGGCCCATGCATTTAGGTCCCCTCCGGAAGCAGAGCGGACGAATCGGGGCGTCGCCCGTCTGTTCGTCAAACGCATTCTCGTTTCCGCGAACATTTTATTTCGTGTCAAGCGAAATGACCTCTTTTCATTTCTGACGGCGCGACCGGGCAAGGCGGGGGCAAGCAGCCCCTTGAGTGCGAGAGAGAGCGCTCCGTGTGCAGGTCGTCCAGTCCAGACCGCCGCAGAGATGAGTCCGACTGGCCCGAGGCTGCCCGAGGCTGCCCGAGGCTGGTTATAGGGTTATTGGCGTGTTGTCCCGGGGCGGGGCACACGGCGGGGCACACGGCGCGGCACACGGCGGGGCACACGGCGCCAGAGAGGCACACGGCCGGGCCGGCCGCGTCCGAAGGCTAGGCGCGCCTCCTCTGTCCTCTATGCATAATCTCATTTGCCGGTGGAGTTTGCGCTGCGAGCACTCGCGGCGCGGCGGCAGCGGACGGCGAGGACGGCGATGAGGAAACTGCCAGCGAGGGGCGACGCGGCTCGCCGGGGCGGTCCTTGAAGGCGGCGCGGGGGATGCGGGGGCACTCGGCTTGGAGGCGGGCTGGCGGGCCGATGCGCCGCGAGCAGGTGATGCCCCGGCACGCCGTGCCCGCCGTGCTCGCTGGCCGTGTCTGGGCTGATGGGGAAGCGACCACCTGACCCGCAGCGGCGGCAGTCGTGGAAGTCGTAGCGGCCGGGCCGGGCCGGGCCGGGGCGAGGAGGGTCCGCCGAGGGGGAATTGGAAAAGGAGGTGGGGGAGGGGAGGCCCTGGCCCTGGCCGCCCTGGCCGGACTGGCGGGAACTCGAAGCAACTCAATTTACATCCGTAACTTGCGGCCGCGTGCGGCAATTACTGCCCTGGCGGCCCCCAGCGCCCCGAGCCGCGCGGCAGGCAGCCCGGCAGCCCCGCAGCACGGCGCAGCACGGCGCAGCACGGCGCAGCACGGCGCAGCACGGCGAAGCACGGCGCAGCCCCAATCCCGCGCCCCGCCAGTGCCCGCCCTCCCCCGCTCGGCCCACGCCACACCACCTGCCTCCCCGCTGCCTCCCAGACCACCCCCGCGGGCCAAGCCGGGCGTCCTGCCGCCGTCCTGCCATGCCGTCCTCTCGGCCCCGAGTACCTGTGCTAACCTGCGCGGCCAGCGAGCAGCTATCGTCTTGAAACCCTTTGGCCTGCCCTTCTTCAGACCGCCCCGCCCCGCCCCGCCCCGCCCCGCCCCGCCCCGCCCCGCCGTCAAGGAGCCTGTAATACGGTGGCACACGCCATCACGAGAGTCTCGCTTGACTCGAGCGGTGGCGGGGCGGGTCGGCGGGTTGGCGGGTACGAACCCTCTCATCAGCCACCCCGCCGCTCCGGTCCGTGGTCCGTAGTCCGCAGTCCGCGCAGGACAAAAAGCAAACGTGGGGCCGCGACGCATGGACCGCCTCGAGCGTGGTACGCTCGGCTCAGGTCGACTAGAGCAGCGGCCTGACGCCCTGTTCCGCCGTGCGGAACGCCCCGAGTGCCAAAGCGACGAAAGGACGCGCGGTTCGGAAAAATGCCGCGGCAGCGCGCCGAGCTTAGCGCCTTGTTGTCCAGCCCGTAATGGTAATGGCAATGCAGCGTAGGCAACATTTCCGAGCGCGGCGCACGCGTGCAGGCGGCTTGCCTACGCGGCAGGCGATTGCTATTGCGACTAATGGCTGGACCACAAATGATCGTCTCGCGCTCGTGTCTCGCCAGACGGTCTGGTCCGCGGCTCCGCGGCTCCGCGGCTCCGCGGCGCGCAACAGCACCCCTGCAGCACGGCAGTCGACGTGCAGCAGCGCAGCTGCGGGGGAAAAGACCGTACAGTGAACTGGGCAGGGTGGCTCGGGATGGCGTTGCAACAGCGTGGGCCGCGCGGGGCCGCGTGGGCGGTGTGGGCGGTGTGGGGCCGAATGCCCCCTTCCTTCCAGCAGCAGGGCCTCATGGCGCCTCATGGCCTCATCGACAAGCGCCTCACGTGGTGCCTGCGTCCGCCCAGTCCGCCCAGTCCGCCAGCCCCGCCCGGCTCCCTGCCTGGTAAGTGCGCCCCCTCCGCCCCCTCCGCCTTTTCTCACGCCTGGGCGGTAGGCAATCGTGTATTTCATGGCATAATTGGATTGGCGCGCTGCGCGCTGTGGCCCGGTCCGTCTGGCGCCAGGTCCAGCGGGCAGCGGGGCGCGCCCTGGCCATGCCCTGGCGGTGCGAACCGGTCGCCGAATTGGAGTTGAGTAGTTTGAGTTTTAGAGTGCGGCGGGGCTGCCACGGCGGGGCTGCTGCGCCGCGGCCCCACCACGCCACGTCCGGCCACACATGTTACTGCCCGCCACGCCGCCAGGATGGCCAGGCTACAGCAGACTGATTCCGAGAGTCGGTTCCGTCGCTCTGTCTCTCTCGCACTCACCGAGCGTCCCCTACAGGTGCGAGAGAGGCAGAGAGGCGAAAAGGACTTCTTTCGGAATCAGTCTGCAGCTCAGCTACAGCATCGCCCCGGCCGGCCTGGCTCCCGCGCTCCCGGTGGGCTAATCCTGCCCACTCATTTTCGGCAAGGAGCACATCTATCTTTATTTGGGCCGCCCTCGCCCCGCCTCGCCCCGCCTCGCCCCGCTCGCTGCAAGGAGGGACAGGCACGTCGCCGGCCTGGGTGGGGGAGGCACGCAACGCCACGCCGAGCCGATGGCGCACGGCACGGCACGGCACGGCACGGCACGGCACGCCGATCAGCGAGGGCCGAGCGATGCGATGCTGCGCATGCCGAGACAGGTGGAAGGCCTAAAACGGGGATGAAAAAGGAGGGGCCTAAAATAGGCAGCCGAGGGACACTGCCGGCACTGCCGGCTCCGGGATACGTACACTGCAAACCCGAAAACCCGCAAACTCACAAAACCGGAAAACCGCACACCCTCAAACCCACAAACCCTCGACGGACTCGTGTGGGCTGCATCGGTGGCGGCGCCGCCAGCGGTCCGAGGCCGCGGCGGTCCAGCTTGGCAGCTGTGAAAGCTGCTCCATGTCTACAGACAGGGTGTCGCGACAGCCGAAGCGCGACAGT